ACCATTTTTATGCTCAGGTGTGACAAAGTTATTTCGGGAATTTGAAAAGAATTCAGAATCACTGAGGATCTAATGAAACAGTAAAATCTGTATTTCTGTATATGAATTAGAGTGTTAATGGCCGCCTAGAATGAAGGGTAAGGGGTCTTTATATAGGCATGCCTAAGGCAGCCCTAGCCTGACTAACCAATTCCCTCTTTACCCCCTCTTTCTCGATTGTTTTACCCTTTTTACCCCTTTAAAATATCTGAAAACCCTCTGCTCTTTAACAAACCAGCTCTCATCTTATCCTCTGGAGCTTTCCTCCTAACAGAAATGATTCCCTCACACCCTAAAATCCCTAAATTGACCTCTGCCCAACCAGTTATTACGACCCCTGCCCTCTCCTTTGAGACCCCTTTAAGTTTCTAGCCTTACAATTACCCCTCTATAGATTGATGAGGAGTGACAAACAGGACTACTCAAACACAAAGGCTTCAATCAGATCAAAAGTAAAATTCTCAAAAACAAAGAAAATTTTGATAATTGAAAACAAACTGAGCATGAATCAAACAAGCCTTCACAGGATTACTAAGCCAATATTTAAACAAAAACACAATCCACAGAACTTATCGCAATTAAACTAAACAAACTTAAAACAAATTTAGACCAACAATTCAATCATGAACTTAACAGAGAAGCAAAAAAAAGAAAAGGAACAAAGCACAAAGGTACCTGAGAACAGAATCCAGGGTGAACCTCAACGGATAGAAACCAAATGCTAAAATCATCTCGAGATAAACGGAACTTGAGGATAAACAGTTGTTCCTTGATAAGAACAACCAATTAGCCTCTAATTCCGGCTAAATCGGAGTTTGGTCATGAAATCGACATGAGCAAAGGCTATAGATACAGGGATTTGGGTTCTAAATGATTTGGGGAAGGTTAGGTTTAGGTCTGATTTTTTGATTCCAGATTCGAGTCGACCTAGGGGAATTTGAAGGGCATGGGTTAGGGATTTGGGAAGAGGGAGTGATAAGGGTGTATTTTTGGGGCAGTTTGGTGGTGGCGCCGCCACCGGAGAAACTGTGGCGACGCTAGGGTTCATGGCTTCGAACAAAAATTCGAGTTATGGTGAGTTTTGAGGAAAACGGGGTGAAGATCTGAGATGAGGAGGCGACGGAGGAGTGGTGGTGTTATTTTCACGGCGATTGAACGCCGGCCGCCGTCGTAGGCGATTTCCGGCGGGCGGCAGGCGGTGGCTCAGGGCGGAGTGATGAGAGACGGTCATGGGGGGGTTCTGAGAGTGGGGGGGGGGGGGTAAAAACGAGTAATAGTATCGAAATGGACCCCCCAGGTTTAGANNGGGGGGGGTCTGAGATAGGGGGTAGGGGCGTTCGGACAGTAATATATCAAATGACCCCCAGTTTAGAGCCGTTGGATTAGATTACCTCGACGGTTCAGATTGAATATTGACGGAACGGGGTCGTTTAGGAGGTGAAGGGACCGGGCATTTCGGGAATGGGTTTTGGGCCATTTGGGGCGGGTATTTTAGGTGGGTTTGGACGGGTTTCAGGGGAAGGGATGGTTTGGGCCTGGAAAAATAACCTGAAATGGCCCAAACAATTGATCTCTATTAATACAACCATTTTGCTTTTCATTTTCTTTTTTTCTTTTTCTTTTTTTTTTTTCATTTTCAGATTTTGTTAAATACAAAAATAAAAACCTGAATTAACTCTAAAACAAAATTAATAACTAATTGTATTCTCCATAATTAACTAAGTCCTAAATTAAAAGAAAACTATAAAAATTCGAAAATTAAAAAGTCAAAAATGCAAAATAAACTATTTTTGTTATTTTCTTTCATATTTTGCCACAATTGATTAACTAATTAACCTGAAAATATAAAATAGGACCCTAAATGCAAATGCACATATATTTTTGTATTTTTCATTAATTAAAATGCACAGACAAATGCAAACAATTAACAGAAAATGCCACAAAAATCCACAAAATTGCAAACAATGAAAGACATTATTTTGTTTTGAATTTATGGGAGTAATTCATATAGGGCAAAAATCACGTGCTCACAACTCCTTTTCTCTTCTTTTTTCTATTTTTTTTCACTTTTTATTGCTCTGTTCTTGTGCGGTTGTGCCCTAATTTCTGCTCTGTTCTTTCTATGCTCTGTTTTTCTCTTCTTCTTTCTATTTTTTTCACTTTTTATTGCTCTGTTTCTGTGCCCTAATCTATGCTCTGTTTTTCTGTTCAGACTTTTCTGGTTCGAAAAAAAATTAATTGTTCTGTTCTGTTATGACTTTTGAGGAATATTCACTATCTAGTTTTAGTATCTATTATTTGCTTCTTAATTCAAGAATTGAAACATTTGCTTAACGTTTGCTTAGCCATTTATCTATGCATATTTTTATTTATTTATTTATGTGTTAAATTGCGCTTCACATGAAAAAAGCGCGCGCTTCGCTTCGCGCTTCTCGCTTCGGTGAAGCGAGGCCTCGTCGCTTTTTTGCGCTTAACGCTTTCCAAAAGACTGCTATTACAAAAGGCCTAGTCTAAAGTTAAGGAGCTAACAAAGTCCAAAAAGGATTCTGGGGAATTTACAGGTGAAAAGTTACTCCAACTACATAGACTTGCTAAACATCTAGCCTTAAGTATGTAATTTGGAGTAGAAATGCCCTCAAAACATCTTGTGTTTCTCTCAGTCCATATACACCAGAAGATACAAGCTGGGATCTTCTTCCATACTTCCCTGTTGGATTTTCTAACCTTCCATGATCTCCAGCTAATCAATGCATCTTTTGCACTTTCAGGCATAACCCATTTGAGACCAAAAGCTGAGATGAACATGTTCCATATGTCTGTAACTGCTGCACAGTGTAACAAAAGATGTCTATTGGTTTCAATAGCCTGTTGGCACATATAGCATCTGTTGACAATGTGAAAGTTTCTCCTAGTGAGATTGTCCTGGGTGAGGCATACTTCATATACGGCTATCCAGCTAAAGCAAATCACCTTTGGTGGTAACTTGGTTCCCCAAATTAACTTCCATGGCCAATTGACTACCACTTCATTCTGATCACAGAGGGAGAGATAACCTGCCTTTACAGAGTATTTTCCATCTACTCTATCACCCCAAATGAGTCTGTCTTGCGCCTGGTCGTTGGTTTGGAATGACCCAAGCCTCTCCAGTAGATTGAGTAGATCCTGTATCTCCCAGTCTTGCAAGTTTCTCCTGAATTGAGGGTTCCATGAGTTATCAGCTCTGTTATTTGAAATTGTTGAGTTTCTGCAAGTGGATATTGAATAGAGGACAGGAAATTCAACTTGTAGTGTGGAGTCCCCCAACCATCTATCTTCCCAGAACTTGATATTTGCTCCATTACCTACCTTGAACTTACAGTTGTTGTGAAATTCCTCCCCTAGCTTGCTGATATATTTCCAAGGACCTACTCCAAATGGTGATCCAGATACTTAAGTACACCAATGATTCTTGGTACCATGCTTTGCAGTCACCACCTCCTTCCAAAGGACTTGATCCTCTTGAGAATATTTTCACAACCATTTCATAAGCATGCTTTTATTGTGGATTCTGAGGTCTCTAATACCTAGACCACCTTGAGATTTAGGTTGAGTTACTTTCTTCCATTTCACCAGGTGGAATTTGTGGCTTTTGCTATTTCCTTCCCAAAGAAAGTTCCTCCTGTATTTATCAATCTGCTTCAGCACTTTCCAGGGATGGGAAATAGGGACATAAGGTAGGTGGATATCACCTTTATTCTTGTACAACGGTACCACTGTATTCCACCTCCACTCATCCGGCATCCTCTTCGTCCTAAAAATTACATTCAACAGCCCAGTCAGCCACTCCAAGCCTGCTATACCCGCACACTTCCAAAACTCAACCGGAATTTCGTTTGGCCCGGCCGCTCTACCCTTACTCATCTTACGCAAAGCCCCCACGACCTCCTCCACCTTAATGTGCCTGCAATACCTATAGTCTTGGAGACTCTTCGAATCCCCCAAATCCCCTAGCACTATATCCCGGTCCCCTCCTCGTTTAGAAGGCCATGAAAGTACGTCTGCCATCTTTGCTTTATCTGGGACTCCCCCATCAATGCTCTACCGTCCTCGTCTTTGATGCACCTTACTTGGTCCAGATCCCTCGCCTTCCTCTCCCTCGCCTTAGCCAGCCGAAACAACTTCCTATTCCCGCCCTTTTCCCCTAATTCCTCGTACAGACGACCAAACGCTGCATTCTATTGAGCTTGGAATTCAGAATACCATTCAGTTGTCTGAACTCTGGACATTTACATCTGAATTTGTTAGATGATTAGTGAATGACATAATATTGCCATTTTATTGGAACATTCAAGTTGTTCGAAGTTGGTATTGAAGTTTTGTGGATAGTCGCCCCTCCTTCCCCTCCTGAACATGAGTATCTTGTAACTAGATTTGAATTCTGTTCCTTGGAGAATTTAAGTTCGTAGAGTTTGCATATGCAGTAGAGTTGTCTGCAGTCTGCACTGGTGGATTTAGGTTCTCTTGGAAAGGATTGTCTGATAACCAAAAGATTGAGGAGATATGTAGCATAGATTTGCAAAATAAAATTTCCCAAAAAGACAAAGGGCATGAAAGATATACTCATTATATTCTCTTGTTTTCAGTCAGATTGTGTATATATATGGTATGTGTCTGTGTACTTGGTCCCTCTGATGAATTGAGTCACTTGTGCTATGCTAGGGTTTAATCAGGTTACCTTTTGACTGTAACCTTATTTGACTTTGAGTAGTTACAAGAGAGAAATTTAAATCCAGAAAATTGGTAGTCGGAAGTCACCATAATGATGATGTTACTAGTTTAATAAAGTGGAGAATTTCCTTGCTTTGAGACTTGAAGCTGTTATATTCTTCTTATTCTTTTTTGTATGGATCGATTTTGATAATAGCCCGTGCTTGCCTTTGGTAAAAAGATGCAATCTTTGACAACGCATAACATGTCTGCAGGAAAGTTCCAAACGGACGTGGGCAAGGCTTGGGCTGCAGAGGTAGCATCAAGAAGAAAGAAATCCAACTGAAAGGTTGGGGTAGTCAAGTGGATTACAGTTTGCACCAGCTCTATTGCTGATGACCCAAATTCTAACTAGGTAGGTGGAATGATCAGTGCTTAGTTCTTGTCTTGTCATTTTGAAACTTAAAACATCTGTTTGATATATCAGTCCAAATTGTTCTTTTCCAACTACAGGATCACTGAATCACTAGGGCAGTAACTGACATTGAAATGGTTCTACAATTTGCAACAGGAAACTGAGCCCCATGGTGTATATTGTTCTTTTGCTTAAAAAGGTTATGCGAGGGAAATGCTAAACTTGGGGATATTTTTTCAATTTTGTTATTTTGAATTCCTCTTTTTCGATTTCCAGTAAATATGCTAGATGCTAAAGCTGAAACTTGGAAGATGATTTGATCGTGGACAAGACTTTTTGAATAATTTACAATGAATTTCTTTCTAGAAGTAATAACTAAAAGGATACACGATGAGAATATAATAATGCTAGGAAAGCTTCAAAATTTCTGCCATATTGTGACAAAAATGTAATAGAACAGTATATTATAATCCAGGCAGTTACGATGCATGGTTGAACGTGATGTATTACATTGGAGCACTCGACACTGAAAGGTGTGTCAAATACCATGAGAATCTAGGTCCAATGTACTGTAAATTATTTTAAATTTACAAACTTGTTTCGTAACCGTTCCTCGTTTTTTGGCGTTTTACGACCATAAAACTGGAATTCTGCCAGGTTCTCATATTTTCGTGTGTCACGACCCGGATTTTTCACCCTCGGGAGTCGTGATGACGCCTACTAATAAGAGCTAGGCAAGCCAATTAATTTAACACTTCTCTCAACATCATTAACAGTATAAAGAAGAACGAGGCAATTAATATAAAAGCGGAAGTCTCGAAACATAAATAACTGAAACCAAGTGCGAAAATTCAAATACACCTCTACCCAGATCTGGTGTCACTAACTCACGAACTTCTACTGAATGCTAAAAACGAAGTCTGAATAAGAATACAGTACTGTCTGATCCGATACAAGGGAAATCAAACGAAAGACAGAGATAAGAGAGACTCCGGGCCATGCGGACGCCAGCAAGCTACCTCGAAAATCTCCGGACTGAAGTAAGCTCCCAACGCTCCTACTGCTGACCAAAGGCTCCTGATCCGGTACTATGATCTGTGCAAAAAGCACAGAAGTGTAGCATCAGCACAACCGACCCCATGTGCTGGTAAGTGCCTGGCCTAACCCCGACGAAGTAGTGACGAGGCTAGACAGGACCTACCAAAAACAACCTGTGCAGATATATATATACAAAGGCAACAGAAATAACAACAGAGAATGTCAACTAAAAAGGGGAAGGGGGCATGCTCGGGGAAAAATACAGCGAATACAGATCAACGGATATAATGACGAAACTATCTCAATACCATAGCTCATATATAAGTGGTCGGCGCGCCACACGATCCCATTTCTTAATTCATAAGTGGACGGCGTGCCACACGATCCCATTTCATAATATATAAGTGGTCGGCGTGCCACACGATCCCATTTCATAATAGATATATAAGTGGACGGCGTGCCACACGATCCCATTTCATAATATATAAGTGGACGGCGTGCCACACGATCCCATATCATAGTTCAAAATATCTGGCTTTGTAAAGAAGGCCCCATTAGGGGAATCCGACAACATAACACTTTAACCCGGCAAGGGTACAACTAACAGCCCAAATATCCCGGTAAGGGAGAGTACATAATAATAGTCTACACGTCCCGGCAAGGGAATAATCACAACACATCCTCTTTTAAACCACTTCTTTCTCAACTATCACATTCTTGCTCGAGCCAACGCTCCAAAATATACCAATCACAATTCTTCCTCAACCGTTCACATTATATGAAATTTACCAATTAAACAAGGAAGTTGTGTCACATCATTCGAATTAAAAGCAATTAAGACTCACGGTCATGCTAGACTCCGGTGCATAGACAACCGTCACTATGCCTATTGATCACGCCCAACTATGCCTTATAAAAAGGACAATGCGGTCGTTGCAAATACAATCCGGTTTACAAATCCGGAGTCGAATCCCACAGAGAACTAAGGTTTAGCTACAGCTGTTCACTATCACCAAGAAGACAAGCTTGAACAATTCCTAACTTATAGATATTAAGATTCTTGTGTTTAACTAATTAACTAACAAATTAAAATAGTAAATTAACAACTAACGATACTGAGGGTTAGAGAAAAGATTAAGGAGGTCTAGAGTTATGATTTCCCCTATTGTCGGAATCCTTCCCGCTATGTCTTCTATAATTTCGCCTAAGTATTCTCTACCGATCATGAGCACTCTTATTGCCGTAAATCTCTCCCGAGTAATTACGACAATTTACTAGACGCACTCTCCCGAGCTAAGCTAGCTGGCTTTTAATACAGCTCACTTCAGATCGCACCCAAGGCTTCGTTATCCCTAATCCCACCTTTAAACCCTCGGTTATTGATCCCTCATATACTCTGGGAGTGGTGTTGTTCAACAACTACCTAAATATGCACTCTCTCCCGAGTTATGCATACTAAATAGGCACAGCTAATTGAGAGCTCTTCAATCAACCAGAATATAAACGTAGTTGAACAAATAGAGAAAAGCTATGACTCAATTATATAAAAACATAACAAGAATTTATCCTACAAAAGGTTCTATCAAAACTCTAGATAACAAATTAGCTATTCATAATAGTATGTAAAACTACAATACTAAAAGTCATAACCAACAATGAAAAAAAATAGGAAGAGGAAGGAAAAAACTTGTAGAAGAATTCTCCGCCTTGCTCCCAATGTGTTCTTGCCTCCAAGGGTGTTGTCTAACCCTAAAGTAGTGTCTCTCCGCCTCCTTAGGTCTAATTTGTGTCCAAAATATGTCCCCTTCTTGTTCTTGGCCAGCCTCCTTTGTTTAATATAGGGTTTAGGACTTAAAATCCCATGTTTTGCACTTTAGCCCTGAAGTTTTCGCTTCCTGCCGCGGTTTTACCGCGATCGCGGTGGAACCGCGGCCAAACATACTCTCTGATTCTTCAGTTGTCCGCGAGTACACTCTGTCGCGGTTCTGCCGCGGTACCGGTGGAACCGCGCTTTTTCACCCTGTTCCGTTTGGAATTTGGAAAAACGTAAAACATGAAAGTTGTAGCCCTTTGAGTTAGCTTTCCAACCATATATTGTGGAGCCCAAATGGAGTTCTGAGAAAAAAGTTATGTCTAATTTACTAGACAGTGCGCAATATGCCTCCTCAAGTCTTCGTTCGTACTTAATTATCAAATTTGACTCCCGAACACGATCCCGGCTTAATTCCTTGAGCTTTTACTCAGACTTCAAAGCTTCAAATCACTTAAATTCATTCCATAACATCTATATAGCTCGGAATCACACCTACAAGGCATAAAACACACAATTAGTGCAAAACACTAGCGATTAAAGCGCAAACTCAATTAAAGTGCAGTAAATTCAAGTGTAATAAGCGACTAAAATATGCAATTATAGCCTATCATCAACACCCCACACTTAAACCATTGCTCGTCCTCGAGCAATCAAACTACATTTTTTTTTATAGACACGACCTTTTTAAACAATTCTCCTAACTCATCACACCAAGAGTATTTAAAATAGACTAAGCACAAAAGCGTAACATCTTCACCTCAAAATTTGACTCACAAGTACCACACGTTATTCACAACTCACCCACTTACTCTAATATAGAGGTGACTGACATTACCTTTCCTTCATGAATCAAGTGCCCTCACACAACAAAAGAAAGTAGTTCCACACAATAAAATTTAAGAACACTTAGGAACTCAAGATAGAAAGAATTCACTCACTCTCAGAAATAACATTCATATGCCACAAAAGATGCACCATAAGCTTGCCCTAGTGTACTACTCCACTAATCGAGCTCATTCAATCTTGGATCAATTAGGACTTTATTTGGTTGTAATGTAGGCTACGGGACGGGTATGATACATTTAGATATAAGGGTGACTACACCTCCCTAAGCACTTTAATACATATACTTTAACATTCAAACCCATGCTTATGTCAAACCAAACTCCACCTTCACATCAATGTATATTACCCCCATACTTCTTTATGCACACTTACATCAAGAGCCACCACTTATCAAGGAATTTTTTTTTTTAACAACAATCCAGCTATTTTTTTTTTCAATTCAAGTGGTTTTTACTTTTTCAAAACAGTGCACCTTTCTCCTTATTTCATTAGTTCCACTCAAAAGCCAAACCAACCACCCCACACTTTAACTTTTACAAAGTTCATAAACAATTCAAGTTTTCATGAGAGGTTACAATGGTTCAATAGATGGTTAATTCGAACAAATGGGTAAGGCTTGTAATGTGGTTGCCAAAAAAACAGGATTACAGGCTCAAAGGGGTTAACTACGATACATAATAATTAGGCGGGTAAAATATACATATCTGGCTCAACAAAGAAATGCCTATATCACTTCCTAAACTGAATAAAACTACTATTTCGCTTTGCAAACACACGGGGCAAGTTCTAGGCATCAAATGCAATTCACAGAATATCACAAAACCTCACACACACATGGCACATAACTCACTCAGGATTGGATTCATCAAGACACCCTAGTCAGAGCAGTTAAGCAAATTTAAAATCATACAATTTAAGGTACTTATACAAGAGTCAAAAATTGAGCATAAGCGTCACAGCCAAAGTACTCACTATTCTCAAGGCATAATAAAGTCAAGAGATATTGCTTCATTTCAAAACAAAACACAATGGCTCCTATTCCCCAAAAAAAACTAACTACACCCGGTTCAAATAAAACCCTTGGAAAAGAACCGTGGTTTAAAGAAAAACCAAGGGGTAATTATTACACTACCTAACAAAATAAAAAATCTTTTTGGTATTTTCTTTAGACTTACTTCCCTCAAGAAAACTGTCTAGAAGATCCGTCATCAGGAAAAGTCCAATCTTTTAAAAAAAACAAACACAGCTAAAGTAGCATGAAAAATCACCCAGACAATCTCCTCACCCCACACTTAAAATTGTGCATTGTCCCCAATGCACATCCATACATACAAGAAGGTAAAAGAAACTCCCTGGTAGGCCAGAGGCCGAAGCACTAGCCGTTCATGGGGTAGACTTCTCCCAAGCTTGGTCCTTCGTGTGGGTACCTCACACTTAGTTCCAACCATTTGGTTTGCTGATGCATCCTTCCAATACCTTTGCTTTCCATGCTCCTAGAAAATAAAAAAATTGACACTACAAAAATAATACAATTAAAAAAATAAAAAAAATAAATAAAAGAAAGCAATAAAGCTGGGTTGCCTCCCAACAAGCGCTTGATTTAACGTCGCGACACGACGTGAATCACTTTCTGCCTCCACTTTGAACTTATGAATCGGACCCCAAGTTTTGATTCTGCTCTATGATCATGCTCCTGGGGTGGTGGAACGAATCTGGCTGGCCCAATAAAATAATGTAGTATTCTGCACTTCTTGGCCTTTAGATGAGGTG